TGCTTTAGACAAGGCAGCTGTATGATAATATAGGTTTGTTAATGTTTAGATGAGATTAAAGAGGGATGTAGATGATAATAATTGAGTAAAAGTATAAGTTCCTGAGAAGGACAAATAAATCTGTTGTGATATTTTAACAAGTTATCTGGTAAGATAATGAAACAGAGGTAAAGCATGGACTATTGGTAGGTGGTGGACAGAATGGCATGAGAGCACACGTGATTGGAGAACATGAAATCTGGAAAGCAATGAAGAAAGTGGCTTCTCTAGAGCATATATCAGATTACATAGCTCCACTGAAGAAAAATATGGAAATCAAGAGTTACAGCCTTTCAATTCAACTTCCAAATTTTTCACACCTAGCTTTAATTTACACGTCAGTATGCAGTTTAATTTATGCCTTTGTTCAATGTGTATTCAAACATCTGCCTCAATGACATTTCATGTTGCTCCTTGCCTGGGGCATCTCTCTACTGCATCAAGCTGAAGCAAGTTATGGGCTTTTTAAACAAGGTTATACACGAATACAGTGATAATAATGCTGTTTATACTGAGTAATAATCCTTCATAAGACACGCTTAGAAATGTTTAGGCTCTGATACAGTCTCTTTCTAGAAGTTTAAGCAAAAGAAAAGAATTAAGATACCTTTTAAAAAAACATGTTTTTTATTATGATTTCAGTTTAAATGCTTTAATCTATTTAAACTGTTTATACCATTAGTATGATGTCCATATCATACGTAGTAATTATTAGCACTATTTAACATGCTGTGGTTGGCATAATAGTGTAACTAAGTTCATTATAAAGCAGCTTAAATGACCATGACCATCGCGTCTCTTGGGAGCTTACAAAATAGAACCTGATTTCTTTCCTCAGAGAGTCAAAAACGTTTACTTTGGACAAGTCTAAATGTAGTACATTTAACAGTTAAAAGGCAAGTGAGAAACTTGCTTCCATGGAGAATTAACCACAGTTATTTCAGCTAACTGACAACTCATATTTGTGAAACCACCAGGAGGGCTTACACAAATGATTTACTAACGGTGCTTAAAGTATTTTTACTCTACAGATTTGTCACTTAGTGTACGCATCCCATATAGTTCAATGGCTCTAAAGGATCCGTTATAACTACTTTTCTGAAATAATTATAAGATTAAAGGCTTATTTTTGGAGCCGTTAATGATATCAATGAAAGGATTAAAACAATTTCAGTGAAAATCATACAGAGATGAAAGAGCTAATGCTTCTATTACATTTTAAGTGACAAATGAATCAGAGAAAGGCAGAATTTCCTTCTCAACTCACATTCCAAATGAATTCTACAGAATCTTATGTTTGATTAACTAAAACAAATAAACATAACAATTTAGTCCTAGTGCCCACTGAATAGTACTCATAGAAAATCACTCCTGAAATGCCATTAAAATACCTACAGACAATGAAATAATTAGAAGTCTTTCAGGCATAGCATTTAATATAGTTGGAGATACGTATATCAAACATGTAACAATGATAGAGGCACACAAGAACAACAAGATGCAACCAAACTTTTATCAAATGAAATCTCTCATTTTAATATCTTATTTCTTATTAATGCTCACCTTAGCATGAGCCGTCATTTTAGTAACAGACAACTAAAAGCCCTCAGATTTGCCCAGATTTCATTATCCTTCAAGTACACTTCAGATGCCTTGATCATCAAAAACTTGACATATTATAACTTGTATTAATAGTTTATACAACAGTAATTTATAAAAATAAGATATCGACTATGAATGTATTAATTACACACAAAAATACTTGCCAGAATTTTGAATATGAAGAAGACAAAAGGTGAAAAATAACGAAGGCTTTCTTAAGTACAAGAGAGAGAAACCTTGAAATCCACTGTTTTTGTCTTTAGACTTCAATTTGTTTAGTTTTATCTAAAATATAGTTTTCCCTATATTTTAAAAAGTCATTAAATAAGAGAAGGAAAAGAAATAACTGAATAGCTGTAGACTTATAGTAAATGAATGACTTTATCCCTGATTTCCAAGAAAGCATGGTAATAGTGAAGAAATATCTAAGAGATATATAATATATAGCTAACTTATCAAGAAATTTTAATATAATTTAAGCCTTATATAATATGCATTCCTATTGACCAGTCTTTTTAGAATCAAAAATATTTTTCTTACCCACTGATATTATATATTTATATTTATGTTATGTTAATATGGCCATATTTAGATTGCTCAAATATTTAAATTAATTTCATATGCTGAATAGCAAAAGAATACTTTTAAAATTATTTTCCATGGCTAACTAATCCTTAATCAATACTCTTACTATATTTTGATTAATGATTATAAAATTACCTATTAATTTTACTTCTTTTTTTCCCTACATTGTTAGAAAGTTATTGTTAGCAATAAAATAATTTTTCTGCCATATTTGGAGAAAATCCTATTTCTGCAAATTGTGAAAAATATATTTATTCTCTCATGTAATGAACTCAGTTCTAGAGAACACTATCAAAATAACAGCATGCAATGTCTTGCAGACCGTGAAATGTAATAGATAATCCAGTAAATTGTAATACTTTCCAAATGCTGTTTGCAATTAGCATTTTGGTGATATAGGGGATAGTCAGATATGGAAAACTATTTCAAAATACCCTAAAATACATAACACTGTTTATGTTCTTATGTTCAATATGTAACACAGATGCATGTTGAAGGTTTATATTATGCACAAAGAAAAGAATATTAGAAGTATCATACCTTTGAGACATAATCTTATAGGCATCTGGCAGATAACATCGGATATTCTCCATCTGAGCAGGGTCAGAGTCACAAATTTTGTCATCAGTCCTGCCATAGTTCGCACTTTCTATCATGATGACGTCTGTTCCTGGACAGCGGAGCTCTATAGGATAGCTCTCACAGGATAGCTCTCTGCGGACCACAGCCATCGGAATTGGGGCACGGCTGAAAGCTGCCAAAAGGAGGAAGAAGAAAAGAGATGCCATTCTTACCACATACAAAGGAAGATTACATGTGTTTGCTTTTCCAGTGTTTGGGGTAAATCAATACCAAGATACAAAGCAGTTAAGATTCATAATTTTAATTAAACTAGAATATTTTTCTATTCAGTAACTTTATAACTATTTTTATTCTATTTTAACAAAAACAGTTCTTAAAATCTTTATCACATTTGTTTTTCTTTTAAATGGAAAAAGGTATGGTCGATTTTGTATTAAACTCTTGGCCTGGTGTGTCAGATTAAAACTAGATAGAGATATCATCCAGTTTATACAGTCAGATATTCAGATAAACCTTGCAAGTGTTCCTTTCTTCTCTTTTTAATAACAAAATCATCATTGAAAAATTGCACTATTGTTGACTTTAAATATACTTAATCTATTTCAATTTTACAACATACTTCCATTGTTTGAGGCAATACTTCATGATTTCACTGTAGAACTAATGCATGCTATTTATTTAAGAAAATGGAGATTCGTTTGGAGGAAAAGTTATATTTTCCTTTAGCTCCTCCCCATACTCTTCCCCCAAAGTCAACAGGTAACTAGTTACCCATGTGGAGACCTCCAAATTATAATTTTCTTCACAGAAAAAGACATGTGTGTGTTCTCCCACTCCTCGTTTCATTTTACTCTGGTAATTTTACTCAGGTAGTATCACACTATACACATTGTTTGATATTTTGTATTATTTTATTTATAAATATAATGATATATGATGGAAATCTTTCCATATCTGGATATTGTTTCCTTCGTTTTTAATGGCTACATCTCATAAAAATATAAATTATTTAATTGGTCCTATGTTAATGGACACTTGGAAAAGTCTTGGTGTTTTTGTGTCATAATACTGCAAGGAAGCCTAAACCTATCTGTGCACCTTGGTAGTAATATATTTGAGAAAACCTAATTATCCAAATACATTTTATGGTATATTTCTAAAAAATGAGATCGATGGATCAAGAGGGCAATACATTTCAAATTTGGCAAATATCAATAGAGTTCAAATAAACTTGAAAATGTATACTTTCTACCAACAATACTTTCTTTTTCAAAACTAAATATTATCAATTCCTTTAAGTTTTGTCAATTTGATAAAGAATGGTATAATATCTTTAACTTGTACTACTTTACTTGTACTGTGGAATATATTTTCATATGTTTATTGACCTTTCATATTGCTTTTATTCGTGAATGGTTGCTTACATTTATGTAAAGTTTGCTGTTATAAAAGTTTTTTTGTAAAAGAAAAATAAACATTTGTCCTTTACATTTATGAGAAATACACTTTTTCTAGCTTGATGTTTAATTTTAGATGTTTGCTGGACATCTATATTTAAGTTTTATACAGAAAAATGTCTGCCTTTTCCTGTCAAGTTTAACAGTTTCCCTCTCCAAGATTGTGAACATAATCACTGTATTATTGGGAAAGAGTCAAATGTTAAGTAATGATAACTCAACAAATCTTCTTTTACAAGTATGTAATTAAAATTTTAAATGAAGTGTTTACTAACTGTCAAATAAGTTGATTTCAACATTAAGAGAATCAGTTATAGAGAAACATGTGAGAGCTTAAGTGTGCATTTATAGTTTATTAAATCACCAATATGCACATGCACAAAAGACATGTATTTAAATAAATATGTGCTTGTCTTCTTGTGGTTTTTTTACGAAGCATGAAATGTGAAAAGAAGGGAGGAGAGAGGCAGGGAGGTGAAAAATGGAGGGGCAAAGAAAAACATATAACTATAAATATTTTCACTTAAAGTTTAGAGAAAATATTGATTTGGTTTGTGAAATATACCCGTAATTTAAAAGTTGAGAGTGATACGGGTTTTCATCTCATTTGTATGATATTTTTGAAAAAGCATGATTGTACCATAGACCCTAGGCAAAACTTCTTAACAGGTTAACAGGTCACTTGAAGTTCTTTAAGCTGCACTGCACAGTTAATTCCATTCTGGTTGGTGTTCAGCATTTTATTTCTCTCTCTCTCTCTCTCTTTCTCTCTCGTGTGCACACACATACACACCCATAGAAGAATCTAGTATATCCACAGCATTGACTGAAGAGAGTTAGCACAATTAAACGTTGGTTGTAATGTTATTTTTAAAGTTTGTTGTTGCGTCAACACTTGGCAAGGTACTCTCACAATAGACACTAAATTTCTGATACGTGCATTTCTATTGTCCGTAAAATAAAATTCTTTGTTTGTCACTCAGAAATTGGATGCTTATTTAAATCTGAAGTCCTTTTCAATACTGAGATTCTACTTTCATGGATATAGACATTTTCAATAGTGTATTTAAAGTCTTATATAATAGAATCATTTAATTAAAAAAAGGACTTTGGTGAATTTAAATGGAACATAGAGGTGTTTTTGTTTTTGTTTTCACAAAAGTCCTTAATATCAGAATTCTCAGAATGTTTTAGAGTAAATTTTTACACATTTATTAAGAGACAAATTGTTTCTTAACTTTTAAAACCATTTTATAAAAAATCACATTGAAACTGCTTCCAAATATTGAATTCATCATCTAGCTACAGTATGTTGACTAAACTAGTCAATTAAGTTGTTTTTTTTATAAACAACAAAAAAAAGGTTAATGTAACAATAAAACAAATTAGCAAAAATCATTTGTTTCACTAAGTGGAGAATTTGGTTTATAAACTCATGGGTCAGTTTTGTCAAAACAATGGCATAACTTTAATTTGGATCTTCACTGTCAAAAATATGATTTAGTACCAGACACTAGACAGTTGCAAAGTCAATTAAAATGTCGAGGCCCGAATTTTCCATGTATCTTTTGGACTTGTAAGAATGATTCAACAGTTATGGATATAGCAATTTTTATGGAGAACCAGAGTTTATTTGTGTATGCTTTCTTCCACTGAGTGTATAATTGCATTTATATCATCAGTAACCCAGTGACAAACTGCACTCCATAAACGATGCGTGCTTTAAGGGAATTTGTTAATGGGAATGTATTGCTGGAAACTACTCTATAAGATTATCTAATTAGCTATTTAAATTACTTTTAATTATTTTACTGTTTTAATAACAACCAAACTCCAAAGGAAAAAAAAATGATTTTTGTTAAGAAAAGGTTTCCGCCATTCAGTTATCAAGCTACTAATGGAAAGACGTCGTTAGAAGAGGAAAACACTAAAACATGGAAAACGCCAACAATTCAAATGCAGAGTAATCAGTCAAATAGTCTACTGCATGTTGTGCCAGGTTAACATTGCATTGGGCATTGTGGACTGGCTGATAACATAATAATTTGGAGCAAAGAAGGCATATACATACCTTCTTATGCTCCTTCCCATTTTTATTCCATGAGGTAATCTGTTATATCAAAGATTACGGTGTTATCTATTAGGTGTGCAATAAATATCTGCTGAATAAATTGGAAAAGGTTTAGATGTGAAATCTGGAAACCCTCCGCTAGGATGCCACACTTCGGAACTACTCACTGACCACAGGACTGACTAAAGGGACATGAACTAATTAAACTTCTCTGATAAAGATGCCAGAACCTCAGAAAGTTTCCAAATTTCATATCAAACATACAGCTAGTGAAAAGTTCTTTTGATCATGGAAATAGCTCCCTATTCTTGCTCACTTGTTTTCCACAGACATTAATCTGATTTTTTACTTCTTTTCTGAGATTTTAGCCACTTCATTACTGAAACCTCTTGTTGTTCTGTTTCCTTCTCCTTGGGCTCTCTCCCTTACTGATACACCTATTTGCTGCTTTTTGACTCAATATGCTATAAGTCCTTGATGAACTTGTGTGTGATAACTAAAGATACCAGACTAGCAATGGGAAGTGAAGAGGCTAGAAGTAGGTGACCAATCAAGAGTCAGGTGATTCCTCTTGGTCTCCAAGGACTGGGGTCAGAGACTTGCCAAGGTAATCCTAGGTTATAAACAGGGGGCTTTCAAAGAAGGGAATATTACTTCAGACATGCAATTATGGTACAAAACATATCAATAAGTAAAAGACTAAACACAGTCTAAGAGGCAAGTAGCCAATTAATTGGCTGAGGTTATAACAAATATAATTAATTCAGTAGAAATGCATTAAATTTAAGGTGTTAGGATACCTGCAAATGGTTAATAATCAGTTGGATGCATGAGTCTAGAATTCAGGAGTAGAATATAGGCTAAAACCATGTTAATATATAAAGTAGCTAAGTGAGTATCTATAGAATAAGAGAAGAGGGATGAACAAAGAAGTCGAAACATCAGTGGTCACTGACGACTTGAAGAAGGTGCTCCTTATTCATGGGAGAAATATAGAGAAGGGCATTTCATATATGTTCAAGGAAGATTTTGACTGTGTGGACTAAATCACCTGCCACTACACTGGCGGAAGGGAACGTAAATAATTACATGATAGATGAATCAAGCATTTTTCTGTCTCTCCCTGGGCCAAGTCTTCAATGTCCTAGTCAAATCTGTCTTTTTTTTTTTTTTCATGCATTGCTCTACACTGAGTGATCCACTCAGAAATGAGGGTTACACATTAATGGTAGACTGGATACAGAAAATATGGTACATATACACCATGGAATACTATGCAATCATAAAAAGGAATGAGATCATGCCTTTTGCAAGTACATGAATGGAGCTCGAAGGCATGATCCTCAGCAAACTAACGCAGGAACAGAAAACCAAACACCACATGTTTTCACTTATAAGTAGAAGCTGAACAATGAGAACACATGGGGACAGGGAGGGGAACAACACAT